GAATTTTCTTTAATTCTCCTAAAGCTGATATCAATAAATCGATGAAAGCACTATCTTAAAAATATGAACTGATGAATAAATATAAGAAAAAACTTAAGAGATCATAAGGAGCGTAAATAAGAATAACAAGCTTTAGACATAATTTAGTGCATAACTTTTGGTAAAAAAGACTTTGTATTAAAGAAAGTGGAAAATAAATACCATAGAATGACCAATATCACAAAAATTAGAGTAAGATAAATATTCTTTCTGTTAACTTTTTAGAGGAGAAACATTGTTCCAGGGTGAAAATATTTGGGCTCCTCTTAAACTGCAATTCGCCAAACTGCTAAACATACTTTTTTATTTAATTTTGCCAACTGAATCTTCATCTTTATACAACATCCAACTGTGTACAAAAATTTACGAGTACACGTCAACTTAATCAGACTGAGAAGAAACAAGAAGATTAATAACTGAAATTAACAACAGCCGAACAAGAACAAAGAAGGTCAAAGAATAAACCAAATACACAGAAGTATGCACCTAAGTGAAGAGGAGCATTCCAGCTGACAAGCGAATATACATGGATGACCTATAGACGACAACAAGAGAATCTGCAAGAGAATGAAATGTGAAACCTTCAACTAAATGTTGGTACTGTAGTGCTGGCACTTCTCAAAAGTTTGCTGGTTTAGAAACCCTATATGCACAACACGCAATAAAGTGGGTCATAAAGAAACAGTTTTCCAAACTAGAGAACGCTTGAGATCAAAGCCAACGAAGCGTCCTTACCAGTGTCAAAACAAGTATATAAACAGTATGTATGACACATTGTCTCTAAGCATAATAGATAAAAGAAAGTATGTGGAATTAATGGTTAATGGTGTTCATATTCGATTATAACTAGATACAGCATCAGATATCACTTTGATCTCTAAACGAACATAGCGCTTAACTAACTGTCCACAAGTATTGCCAACTGGGCACGTAACTCGGAATGCATCCGAAAACATTAAAGCTCGTCGAAATAATAAAATACTCTGTTGTTTCGAGATAAGTACTTCACAGAAAATTGTTATTTAAGGAACGAACATGATTGAAACCGTGTTGGTATAGATTAGATAGAAAAACTAAATTTATGGGATATACCACTGAGCATAATATGTACGTTGAAAAAATCAAGTAGTCCAAACGATCTAACCGTCGTTCATGTAACTAAGAAAACTAAAACGATAGAGGACCTTATGCAGAAACATAAATCTTGTTCCGGGATAAGTTAGAACGCTGCACATTTGGGAAGGCAAAATCATACTTACAGATGAATGCCTAACCCGTTTTTCGTCCAAAAAAAACAAGCTATTAACAAAGTTGACAAAGAATTAGACCGACTAGAGAAGCTCGATGTTATACAACCTATTAATTATTCAGCATAGGCAGCACTAATTGTAGCATTTCAGAAAGCGAACGGAGCTATTCGCCTTTGTGGAGATTTTTCAACAGAATTAAATGACGCTTCACAAAATCGTTTATATCCACTACCTTCACCAGAGCACCTATTTGTTAACCTAAACGGTGGACGTTATTTTCCTAAATTGGATTTTTATGAAGCCTACTTACAGGTGGAAGTTGACAATGAGTCAAAGGAGTTATTAACCACTAATACTCACCGTGGGCTCTATCAGTTTAACGAATCACCGTTTCGTGTAAAGCCAGCTCCAGCAAATTTTCAGCAAAGAAATTTCTTTTCAATTAGTTTTTCACCATGGCTCTACATTAATATATATATATATATATATATATATATATATATATATATATATATATATATATATATATATATATATATATATATATTAGTGCAGAGCCATGATGAAAAACTAATTGAAAAGAAATTTCTTCGCTCAATCCATTCATTCTTTATTTACCAAATGTGAAAATGGGAATTTTCATTAAATTTTCCACCAGGTAATAGATACTACGATGTCTAAAATCAATGGATGACATCATGGTTGTTGGTTCTTCTGCTCAGGAACTAATAAGCCGGTTAGACGTTCCGCTTACTAAAATATAACAGGCTGGATCTTGGTAACGAAAAGAAAAGTGAGAAGTTCCACTCGGGTCCGTTAACTAACTTGGACATGCATTTGATAAAGATCGTCGCCGGCCAGATGCAGACAATATAAATGACATCAAAAATATGCTCAAACCGACTGATTTTACAATCATTCGTTTATTTTTGGTGCTGATTGGTTATTATGGTACGTTCGTACCCTAGACGTATAAAATGCGACACTCAATAACCAAATTTTAAAGGATGATGCAACACGATACTGGAAAAAGGAATGCCGAAATTGTTTCGATGGAAGAAAAAGGACTTCATCTTCTATACTGCTGCTGACTCACTACAATTCTAGGCTTGAAATAATTGTGGGCACGTTGACAATTTTAATGAATAAAGCCGAGGAAGAAGGAGAAACAGATATAATTCAAAGATCTTTACTAAACCATTGCGCAACACCCAACCCAGCGACAAATAATCAAGAAGGTCCGGCAGGAGTAACTGCAAAAATTCTTCTCGTTTTATTCAGGAAGATTGGAGGAAGGACACCTCATCAAGATAACAAAGGAATGAGATCTGAGCAGATGTAAGAACCTAGCTGCAGAGGAATCACTGTATTGTCAGTATCAGGCAAAATACTTAGCAGAGTGTTGCTGGACCAGGTGCATGACTCAGTAGATGTCCAACATTGAGATCGACAGGCCAGATTCCGTAAGCATCGATCGTATACAGACCAAGTCGTGACACTGTGGGTCATTGTTCATCAATCAGCTGAGTGCAATTCGTCACCATACATCAATTTCCTTGATTATGAGAAAGCGTATGACAGTGTAGATACGAGGATCTCATGGACACTTCTTTGACACTATGGAATGAGTAGGTGAGAAAATTGTCAACATCATACGGAATTCAAACGACGGACTACACTGCAAAGTGGGTCATTGAGGACAGCTGACAGACCCATTGCAAGTAGAGACTGGAGTCAAACGTGGCTGCCTACATCCTTCCTTTCTCTTATTTTCTGGTCATCGTTAAGATTATGAAGACCTCGACATTTGAGAAAGAGCACGAAATACAATAGACAGATTGTATGCAACTAGACGATTTGGAATTTGCAGGTGACCTGATCCTACTTTTGCATACACATCAAAGAGTGCAGGTCATGAAAAACAGTGTAGCAGAAGCCTTTGCGGCACTAGGTCTCAACACATACAAGAGAAAAAGCAAGTTCCTTAAATACAACACGGTGAAAATACCATCATCAAAGAAGTACAAGTACGTATAAACAGTAATCTATGTAAGATACTGAATGTTTGTTTGTCGTAATAGTGTTATTATCATCAGTAGCAGTGGTAGTAGTAATAGTAGTGTGGTGAGTGCTACTTACATTGATGTAAGTAGTATATGAAGCGAGTTAAAAACGTAATGTTTGGCAGCAGAAGAGTGGGAAGGTCAATAAAGGAAGAGCGGGAACACAATGCAATTTGTAAGAAACGCATGATCAATTAAATGTGAGACAATGGATTGATGATTACAGCAGAAACAGTCAGGTTTGATATAATGGATTGATATTTTGCAAACTAAGGATTTACTAAATGGTTTTTCTATTTTACCAAGCAACTGTGTAATTTTGTGCTTAATATAACTCGGTTGTCCTCACTTGTGTTCTCCTTCACCACAGTAGCAGTAGTAGTAGTGGTAGTATTTCTTATTGTAGTTGTAGTGGTAATAGTCTTGGCAGTTTTGTTAACGCCTACTGTAATAATTGTAGCTTACACTGTTCAGTTTGTATTTGTACAACATTTATTTTGTTGATGAGCTTTAAATGTGAAAATAATCATCACAGTAGAATCTGAATATTTTTCTCCATTTTTCAAATTTATTTCAAGTTCATAAAGCCAACACAAAGTTAATTGTAGATAATGATGTTGTCTATTAAAACTGTAAATACACACTTGACGGAAATGAACTCAGTGATAATCGAAAGACTATTCAGTATCACGCTATTAAAATACTGTGAATTCCACATAATTTCAAAGAAACCATGGTCAGTTATTTTTGTTATCATATTTGTCGACACTAAGCAAATCATTAATAATAACCGTTTTTCAGTGAATAATTTGCAATATATAAGGAGTAAAAATTCAAGCAAACAGCAGCAGTAAGTATGAAGCTTGTCGTCTTATTTCATATAAACGTGTTGTGTTTAATTCTACGTGACTCCATGCAAGCTGGTAAGTCGTTCTACATTTTTCTTTAGATTTTCATGTACATACTATTGACGATATCTTTAGCGATTTGTTTACATTTCTATGGTACATACATCTTATCAATACCAATTAATGTGAACGAATGAAAATGTTGATATTTGAGTTGAAACAATCGAATGCATGTCAATATATATCATAGTTGACATTCAGATCCACATTGATATTTGTCATTTGCGATGTAAGTTTAGACTCGAGTGTTTAAGTCCGTGAAGGCAGCAGATAACTATTCGGAACAAATACGCGCCTAAAGTTTAGTGAATGGTTGTGAAAACCCTTCTTAATCGATGTGTGCGTTGATGCACGCTCTCAATGTCTGATGATGTATCATCTGATTTGATCTCAATTGTTTAAAGTACAGTTAGTCTCATTAGATGACAAAGGTTTAGTTTAAACAGAACGAATTTTCTAAAATTCAAAGTAAGTACATTCGTCCGATGTATAATTCAGAATGATACATTGATCATCGAATAGTTGTGTGAACAACATAGGGTAGAAGTGTATGTCGACGAGAATCGGTTGATAATAACAGTATAGTCTACATCTTGCAAATGTTCTGTGATTTTACAAATAAACTGAAATACATTGAACACATCTTTGGATTGACATTATTGCAAATTGTGCTCCATTACGTATTCGTAAACGATGAAATGTAAAACACAGAACAGTTCCTAATTTCGCCCTTTCACCTGATGTATTTGTTGGCACTTTCAACGAAACGTAATTATGTTCGCAGTGTAGATAGTGCAGAACAGAAGCCACTTATTCTGAATGATATAATGGATAGTTTGCAAAGCTTAACAGGTAACTGTGCACTGCACTCATAAATATTTGATATTCTTGTTTATCATATGTGAATGAGCAAATTGTATACACAAGTGAGAATTCATGTTTACTTTCTAACTGGGTTCATTGTTCCCATCCACTTGAAGTTACAAATAAATAAGAATATACAGCGATTACAAGGCCCGAATACTCCAGATATTTAAAATGACTGAATTTGATGGAATGAAACGAAAGATTAGAGGAATGTATGAAGAGAATGGACAGGTACGGAATGACGTTTCGTGTGAATTGATGAAAGGAAGATCTCAATTAAAATATGAATATGAGTACATGAATGGGGATGCCAGCAGATAGGTAAGGAAGAAAATAAATCGATAACTAAGTGTCAGATCGGTAGAGAGTAATAAATATAAATAGAAAGAGAGATAGATAGATTGATAGAAATGTAGACAGTTAAAGAGATAAATAAACAGATGGAAAGATAGATGGAAAGATAGATAGATAGATAGATAGATAGATAGATAGATAGATAGATAGATAGATAGATAGATAGATGGATGGATAGATAGATAGATAGATAGATAGATAGATAGATAGATAGATACATAGATAGATAAATAGATAGATAGATAGTTAAGTGGATAAGTAGATAGATAAATGTGTGTCGATAGTTTGTGCGGATTTTATGATCTTTGCATTTGTGCAAAGAGTGTCCAGTTTTTATTGTTCGCATTTTAACTTCTAACCATGTTTGAAACTCTTGATAGACATTATGTATGTACATTCACCTGTTTGAACTTGCACATTTTTCATTTGAGTAATCGCTGTCTATTTCAACTGTATCTTGTGTTCAATTGTTAGATAGTTTGAAGAGAGATGAATTGGTTCTTTCCATATCTAACAATGAAATAGAGAAACAAATAAGTAATTTATTCACGAATTCATTCATGTTAATAACATGTTGCATTTATCAGAATAGATATTTTATACTTATAAGCTGATTTCGATAAACATTGTATTGTAGTTGTTTGTTGATTGTACTCATCACAATATGTGGAATGCACTAGTGATTAAGATGAACAGTGAAATTCTAATGGTAGGTTGCGACGACTACCTGGACACATGTTCAGTGAATAAATCAACTTACCTCTTTCAAATTAATAAATGTGAAACAGTCAGAACATGTTAAATTAGCCATGCGATATTCAACGATATGTAGGGTTGATTTCATTTTGACTATTTTCGCCCGTCGGTAGTATATTTATATCGGGTAGTCAGTCTGCTACAACGCAGAACCAGGCACATATTTGCTTCTTCCACGTTGCCACACTTCCTTAACACAACATGATGAACACCAAACTCTTAGAATTATTTACTTCAATGGTAGTAATGTATAATAGCTAGATTGTGTATACGGATATAGTACAGGAAGAAATAATTGGTTGGTAGGAGGCAAGAATTTCTACTGGAGCCCTCGGAGGCTACTGCCGGTTCCAAGAACGGATAAACAAGCATGGTTCGACATGGGGTTAACGATCCCATCTCGTAGAAAACTATCTCGCCAAAAACACGCTTACCAGAGACGTGACTGATGCCCCACTCGACATCCAGAGCAACCATTAATTTATGCCCATGGAATGCTCTTAAGTTTAAGGAAAGGCAAAGAGTGTATTCGCCGACGCCACTGTGATCGATTCTGAGCCATGTCACCCGAAGTCTCCAAACATTGGTCACGATAGTCGCACGGATACCAACCAGGCAGTTTGAATCTACCAACGTGGCTATGACCAGAAGTTGGTGACTTAAAGCACTGATGCCACGTTTTGGTTTGACCACTTCTAACGTTCAACCAACAATCCCACACACTAGTCAGCAGTGCACAATGTGATAAGGAAAAGATAGATAGACAGAAAGATAGACAGAAAGAAAGAAAGAAAGAAAAAAGAAAGAAAGAAAGAAAGAAAGATAGATAGATAGATAGATAGATAGATAGATAGATAGATAGATATATAGATAGATAGATAAGTAGATAAGTAGATAGATAAATGTGTAGATAGATAGTGTGTCGATAGTTTGTGCGGATTTTATGATCTTTGCATTTGTGCAAAGAGTGTCCAGTTTTTATTGTTCGCATTTTAACTTCTAACCATGTTTGAAACTCTTGATAGACATTATGTATGTACATTCACCTGTTTGAACTTGCACATTTTGCATTTGAGTAATCGCTGTCCATTTCAACTGTATCTTGTGTTCAATTGTTAGATAGTTTGAAGAGAGATGAATTGGTTCTTTCCATATCTAACAATGAAATAGAGGAACAAATAAGTAATTTATTCACGAATTCATTCATGTTAATAACATGTTGCATTTATCAAAATAGATATTTTATACTTATAAGCTGATTTCGATAAACATTGTATTGTAGTTGTTTGTTGATTGTACTCATCACAATATGTGGAATGCACTAGTGATTAAGATGAACAGTGAAATTCTAATGGTAGGTTGCGACGACTACCTGGACACATGTTCAGTGAATAAATCAACTTACCTCTTTCAAATTAATAAATGTGGAACAGTCAGAACATGTTAAATTAGCCATGCGATATTCAACGATATGTAGGGTTGATTTCATTTTGACTATTTTCGCCCGTCGGTAGTATATTTATATCGGGTAGTCAGTCTGCTACAACGCAGAACCAGGCACATATTTGCTTCTTCCACGTTGCCACACTTCATTAACACAACATGATGAACACCAAACTCTTAGAATTATTTACTTCAATGGTAGTAATGTATAATAGCTAGATTGTGTATACGGATATAGTACAGGAAGAAATAATTGGTTGGTTACTTACTTACTCACTAACGCCTGTTACTCCTAATGGAGCATAGGCCGCTGACCAGCATTCTCCAACCCACTCTGTCCTGGGCCTTCTTTTCTAGTTCCATCCAATTCTTGTTCATTTTTCTCATGTCTATCTCCATTTCTCGGCGTAATGTGTTCTTTGGTCTTCCTCTTTTCCTTTGGCCTTCATGATTCCATGTGAGGGCTTGTCTTGTGACGCAGTTGGGTGCTTTCCTCAATGTGTGTCCTATCCACTTCCAGCGCTTCTTCCTGATTTCTTCCTCCGCTGGGATCTGGTTTGTTCTCTCCCACAGTACGTTGTTGCTAATAGTGTCCGGCCAAAGGATCTGAAGTATTTTGCGTAGACAATTGTTAATAAACACCTGTATTTTCTGGATGATGGCTTTCGTAATTCTCCAGGTTTCTGCCCCATACAGTAGAACTGTCTTGACATTTGTATTGAAAATCCTGACCTTGGTGTTGGTTGACAGTTGCTTTGAGTTCCAGATGTTCCTCAGTTGTAAATATGCTGCTCTTGCTTTGCCGATCCGCGCCTTCACATCTGCATCAGACCCAGCATGTTCATCAATGATGCTGCCCAAATATGTAAAGGTTTTTACATCTTCCAAATCTTCTCCGTCAATTGTGATTGGATTGGTGCATTCTGTGTTGTATCGGAGAATCCTGCTTTTCCCTTTGTGTATATTGAGACCTATTGCTGCTGAGGCTGCTGCCACACTGTTCGTCTTCTCCTGCATCTGTTGTTGCGTTTGGGATAGAAGGGCCAGATCATCTGCGAAGTCTAGATCGTCCAACTGCATCCTAGATGTCCATTGTATCCCGTGCTTCCCTTCAGACGTTGACGTCTTCATGATCCAGTCGATCACCAGGAGAAAGAGAAAGGGTGAGAGTAAGCAACCTTGCCTGACACCGGTCTTCACTTCGAACGACTTTGTCAACTGTCCTCCATGCACAATTTTGCAGTGTAATCCATCATATGAACTCTGCATGATATTGACTATCTTCTGAGGCACGCCGTAGTGTCGAAGAAGTTTCCATAGTGTTGTTCTGTCCACGCTATCAAATGCCTTTTCGTAGTCAATGAAGTTGATGTAGAGTGATGAATTCCATTCAATTGATTGTTCCACAATGATCCGTAGAGTTGCGATTTGGTCTGTACACGATCTATCCTTACGGAATCCTGCCTGTTGGTCACGAAGTTGGGCGTCTACGCAGTCCTTCATCCTGTTTAACAATACCCTGTTGAAGACTTTTCCCGGTATTGAGAGAAGAGTGATGCCCCTGTAGTTATCACACTTGCTGAGATCGCCTTTCTTCGGTATTTTGATCAGAAGTCCTTCTTTCCAGTCTTTTGGTACTTGTTCCTCATCCCAAATCTTATTGAAGAGAATGTGGAGTATCCTTGCAGTTGCCGCTACGTCTGCTTTTAGTGCCTCTGCTGGATGTTGTCCGGTCCTGCTGCTTTGCCACTCTTGATTTGTCTGATGGCCATGCTGATTTCTTCAATTGTTGGTGGGCCAACATTGATTGGGAGGTCCGTGGGTGCTGCTTCGATGTTGGGTGGGTTCAGTGGAGCTGGTCGATTCAAGAGTTCTTTGAAGTGTTCTACCCACCTGTTTTGTTGCTCTTCAATGTTGGTGATTACCTCGCCTTCCTTGCTTTTCACTGGTCGTTCTGGTTTGCGGCGATTTCCAGAGAGTTTCTTTGTCGTGTCATACAGTTGTCTCATGTTTCCTTCTCTTGCAGCCTTTTCCGCCGTCGTTGCTAAATCTTCCACATATTTACGTTTGTCGGTTCTGATGCTCCTCTTCACTTGTTTGTTTACTTCTGTGTATTCAGCTTGTGCCTTGGCTTTTTCTGCTCTTGTTCGACTGGTATTGATTGCTGCCTTCTTGTTCCTTCTTTCTTGAATCTTATCCAGTGTATCAACAGTGATCCATTCCTTGTGATGGTGCTTCTTGTGACCCAGGACCTCATGACATGTTGAAGTGATTGCCTCTTTGATCCCCTTCCAGTTGCTCTCCACAGTAGTTCCTTCTCCATTGAGTAGATCATGAAAGGCCTGGAACTTGTTGCTGAGGACTATCTTGAATTTGTTGAGTTTGTTAGTATCCTGAAGAAAGGCCGTATTGAACTTTTGTGATATTGTCCGCCCCGTTGTCCAGTGCTTCTTGAGTTTCAATTTCATCTTGGCGACCAGCAAGTGATGATCTGATGCTATATCAGCTCCTCTCTTGGTTCTCACGTCCTCTATAGTCCTCCTGAACGTTTTGTTGATGCAAATATGGTCGATTTGGTTTTGTGTAGAGTGATCCGGTGAAGTCCATGTGGTTTTGTGTATGCGTTTATGTGGGAATATGGTGCCGCCTATGACCAGCTTATTGAAGGCACATAGATTTGCAAATCTCTCACCATTTTCGTTTCTTTCTCCCAGTCCGTGTCGTCCCATGATGTCTTCATATCCAGTGTTGTCCGTTCCAACCTTGGCGTTGAAATCTCCCATCAGAATGGTCAGGTCCTTTGTTGGGCACTTCTCGACGATTGACTGCAGCCTATTGTAGAATTGATCTTTAGCGTCTTCATTGTAGTCGTTGGTAGGCGCATAGCATTGGATGATGTTCATTGAAATGCCCTCTTTCTTTGTTTTGAACGAGGCTTTGATGATCCTTGGTCCATGAGATTCCCATCCTATAAGTGCATTTTGCGCTTGTTTGGACAGCATCAATGCAACTCCTTGTGTATGTGGTGCATTTTCTTCTTCATGGCCGGAGTATAACAGGAGCTCTCCTGTAGTTAGTCGTTGTTGTCCAACTTGTGTCCAATGTGTTTCACTGATCCCAAGTACCTCTAGGTTGTATCTTCTCATTTCTGCAGCAATTTGGAAGGCTCTCCGGTGTCCCACATTGTACGAACATTCCATGTACCTAAATAAATGGTCGCTCTGGTTGTCAGAAGGGGCATCGGCCTCGTAACTTCCGAAGGAATTCGGCTTTCATCATGAGGCGTCATAATTCTTCTAAATGAAGACCTTCAGACTCCCAGGGCAGAATTTAAAAGGTTTAAATAACTTCTCCTGATTAGCATTTTTTTAGTGAGTCAGTTGTCTACGGTATGGGGACGCTAAACCCATGCTCAACTCTCTTCAATTATCCGTGCTTAGGAGCGGCAGTAGCCCCCGGAGGGACTTCAGGCAGAGTTTAATTGGTTGGCAGAGGGCAAGAATTTCTACTGGAGCCCTCGGAGGCTACTGCCGGTTCCAAGAACGGATAAACGAGCATGGTTCGACATGGGGTTAACGATCCCATCTCGTAGAAAACTATCTCGCCAAAAACACGCTTACCAGAGACGTGACTGATGCCCCACTCGACATCCAGAGCAACCATTAATTTATGCCCATGGAATGCTCTTAAGTTTAAGGAAAGGCAAAGAGTGTATTCGCCGACGCCACTGTGATCGATTCTGAGCCATGTCAACCGAAGTCTCCAAACATTGCTCACGATAGTCGCACGGATACCAACCAGGCAGTTTGAATCTACCAACGTGGCTATGACCAGAAGTTGGTGACTTAAAGCACTGATGCCACGTTTTGGTTTGACCACTTCTAACGTTCAACCAACAATCCCACACACTAGTCAGCAGTGCACAATGTGATAAGGAAAAGATAGATAGACAGAAAGATAGACAGAAAGAAAGAAAGAAAGAAAAAAGAAAGAAAGAAAGAAAAATAGATAGATAGATAGATAGATAGATAGATAGATAGAAAGATAGATAGATATATAGGTAGAGAGTTAAGTGGATAAGTAGATAGATAAATGTGTAGATACATAGTGTGTCGATAGTTTGTGCGGATTTTATGATCTTTGCAATTGTGCAAAGAGTGTCCAGTTTTTATTGTTCGCATTTTAACTTCTAACCATGTTTGAAACTCTTGATAGACATTATGTATGTACATTCACTTGTTTGAACTTGCACATTTTTCATTTGAGTAATCGCTGTCCATTTCAACTGTATCTTGTGTTCAATTGTTAGATAATTTGAAGAGAGATGAATTGGTTCTTTCCATATCTAACAATGAAATAGAGGAACAAATAAGTAATTTATTCACGAATTCATTCATGTTAATAACATGTTGCATTTATCAGAATAGATATTTTATACTTATAAGCTGATTTCGATAAACATTGTATTGTAGTTGTTTGTTGATTGTACTCATCACAATATGTGGAATGCACTAGTGATTAAGATGAACAGTGAAATTCTAATGGTAGGTTGCGACGACTACCTGGACACGTGTTCAGTGAATAAATCAACTTACCTCTTTCAAATTAATAAATGTGGAATAGTCAGAACATGTTAAATTAGCCATGCGATATTCAACGATATGTAGGGTTGATTTCATTTTGACTATTTTCGCCCGTCGGTAGTATATTTATATCGGGTAGTCAGTCTGCTACAACGCAGAACCAGGCACATATTTGCTTCTTCCACGTTGCCACACTTCCTTAACACAACATGATGAACACCAAACTCTTAGAATTATTTACTTCAATGGTAGTAATGTATAATAGCTAGATTGTGTATACGGATATAGTACAGGAAGAAATAATTGGTTGGTAGGAGGCAAGAATTTCTACTGGAGCCCCTCGGAGGCTACTGCCGGTTCCAAGAACGGATAAACGAGCATGGTTCGACATGGGGTTAACGATCCCATCTCGTAGAAAACTATCTCGCCAAAAACACGCTTACCAGAGACGTGACTGATGCCCCACTCGACATCCAGAGCAACCATTAATTTATGCCCATGGAATGCTCTTAAGTTTAAGGAAAGGCAAAGAGTGTATTCGCCGACGCCACTGTGATCGATTCTGAGCCATGTCAACCGAAGTCTCCAAACATTGCTCACGATAGTCGCACGGATACCAACCAGGCAGTTTGAATCTACCAACGTGGCTATGACCAGAAGTTGGTGACTTAAAGCACTGATGCCACGTTTTGGTTTGACCACTTCTAACGTTCAACCAACAATCCCACACACTAGTCAGCAGTGCACAATGTGATAAGGAAAAGATAGATAGACAGAAAGATAGACAGAAAGAAAGAAAGAAAGAAAAAAGAAAGAAAGAAAGAAAGATAGATAGATAGATAGATAGATAGATAGATAGATAGATAGAGAGTTAAGTGGATAAGTAGATAGATAAATGTGTAGATAGATATTGTGTCGATAGTTTGTGCGGATTTTATGATCTTTGCAATTGTGCAAAGAGTGTCCAGTTTTTATTGTTCGCATTTTAACTTCTAACCATGTTTGAAACTCTTGATAGACATTATGTATGTACATTCACTTGTTTGAACTTGCACATTTTTCATTTGAGTAATCGCTGTCCACTTCAACTGTATCTTGTGTTCAATTGTTAGATAGTTTGAAGAGAGATGAATTGGTTCTTTCCATATCTAACAATGAAATAGAGGAACAAATAAGTAATTTATTCACGAATTCATTCATGTTAATAACATGTTGCATTTATCAAAATTGATATTTTATACTTATAAGCTGATTTCGATAAACATTGTATTGTAGTTATTTGTTGATTGTACTCATCACAATATGTGGAATGCACTAGTGATTAAGATGAACAGTGAAATTCTAATGGTAGGTTGCGACGACTACCTGGACACATGTTCAGTGAATAAATCAACTTACCTCTTTCAAATTAATAAATGTGGAATAGTCAGAACATGTTAAATTAGCCATGCGATATTCAATTGTCTGTAGAATATATTCACTTTAGACTATTTGTACCTGTTATTTGCCAATGTATGGACGTGTAATCTTAACATTTTTTCTAAATTTTCTCAAATTTTTAAGAAAACAAATTTCATCAATTCTCATTGATACATCTTGGCATTTTTTTATCTAGAACTTAGTTTCTTGCTATTCAACATACCACATTAGCACTCGACTTCGTGGTCACTCGTAATTGTATGTTATATTATAGAAGATGAGTGCGAAGAGTCGTCATTTCAGTGTCAAATATGATAAATAAATCAATTTTTCGTAATATCCCAATGAGTAGACAATTAGATTATATGGCATCTCGTGACTCACTGTAAGCTCATTCTTCAGAGAATAAATAACCAGGCCACTTACTCTCTCAATAGGAGGCCTACAAGTAGTCACGAAACATCAAAAAATCTAATTTTTCACTCAATGGAATTCTACAAATATATTGTATTATTTACTTCTAACAATCTACCTAATGCTCAATTTATTATCAAGTCAAACCTTGGTAATAATACTTACACTGTCAAATATGGTACGAATCTCTAAGGCATTCATAGTTTCAAGTAAAAAGGGGATCATTGTTTCAGTCTCTCAATCTGCATACAGTTGTGTTTAGTATTTTTCAATTAGGGAAGCTACATGTGTAGATTGTGGACTGGTCTTCAAAATGATGACTGGATGGAATGTCTTTGGCGCTTTCTGGACATCTTAGAGCTCCCTTCATTTTCATCTGACCATCGTCCCTATTGATAATTATACATTTACTGTTTATATTAAATTTTAGCTACAGTTGTCGAGGAGTTATCACTTGATCGTGGAACAATCACTGAATGTATGTGTATGATATATTAGTATTTTAAAAACCTTGATGAATTGTAGATGTGAACTGCTTGAAATTAATAATGAAAGAGCAGTCAGTGTATGATTTTAAAGAAGGTGTGTGAAGATATCTTGTTTCAAATATCTTGTTTCACATTCGATAAAATTTTGGATTTACTTTCTATGAGCCACACGTGTGCACATTTAGTGTATACTTATGGTACAACATAGTTTGGGAATGAGAAATCTCCTTAATGATGTACTCATTACTGTCAGGCAACATGCTCAATGTTAAACAACATTAATATCCAACTCGCTTTCCTCCTCAAGTCAACGTTCTAACAGAAAAAATTACTTGATCTATAACGCCAAATTTTCGTTGCTAAACAACACTTGTCTCCGTCAGTTTTCAACACTTTTTATGTCAGAATAAACATGTTAGAATATACACTCACCATATGAATTACCCACTACATTAACAACACATAGAGCACTTCCATATTGGATCACGTTTATTGACCTTCCTCTCTGTCATCCCAAACTTTCTATTACGTAAATGTGATATGAATCATACATATTCACATATCGACTAATCAGTACAACTGTTTGAAATTGTGAACAGATGTGTAGACTATGTGAAATGAATAAATTCCTGTTGTTCCAGAATGATTGTTTTACTCAGCTTACTAAAATTTATAAAATGAGAGACTTTTGTTGGGTCCACCCAATGTTTGATGGAGACGAAACTGAAATTTCACAACGACTTCAACAAATTACTTATGTGAATTATTATACAGTAGAGATGTATATACATTACCAAAGAGCACTGTTCGTTATCATTTGATGGTTGAACGGTAATAATGTATGAGGTCAGATGTCAATTATTTTATTTCTATTAATTACCAGTTATCTGTCTACTAAATCTGGCAACAAATATGTAGTTAGAGTGTAAGTGTCAACGTCGGAATTGAAACAAAGGAACATCCAGTTGACGAGTCCCAAATGGGTCCGTTTACGTATCCCGGATTCTACTGTTTGATAAAAAGTAGATGAAAATCTATTGTAGCAATTTTGGAAGTTGACAAAACGGATTCACTGGTTACTAGTTACAATCAATATTCTAAACATATACAGAATGTAGAATTTCATATTGGTTTATAACATATAAAATTGTGGTATTGATTTCCCTTGAAATATTTTAGAGTTTCAGAGCATAATATCCGACATAAATTCATTTGGTATGTATTTGAATTACTTGAATAATTTTTATTATTGAAGACAATTATTTGATCCAATTTTGTTATATATTTCAGTTTATTTATTCCATATTCAAACTCTGTATAAACTTATTAATGGTGAATGGAATCTACTTTCAGTCTGATATATCACGATAGAGAATATGGTTTTCATAGAGAATGATATCTGTGTAACTTTGTACCTGACTTTATTTGAAATCTATTTATTAATTGGTTGCTGTATATGTAGATATAATGGTGTCCGAATCTTCCATTCTACAAGAGTGCCTCAACACAGAAATGACCAATTATAAAGGTAAGAGTTGCTATTCATAACTATTTAGTTATTCGTCGTAATTTAATTATAACTTTGTTTTCAAAATTAAATGACCTTTTTTGTCTATATTGCTCACGACAATTTAGAAACTTAGTGATTCTCATTTCTCGTAATTTTATTCCTCAAATTTTCATGTGAGGTTGAAATCAAAGTTATTCATTTAAGGATTAATGTTAACGTGGAGGCATAAAATCTGTATGTTTTTTTGTGTTGTTTCAACGAACTAATGATACTTTTGTACTTGTTGATTGCTCGATTTCAAATTACAAATACAATACATTCGTTTGTGCTTGTGTCGTAGTTCTTGATTCAATCGCGTTAATTCTGGGATTCCTAGTTCATACGATAATTCAAATTATTTTCAAACACTATACTGACGTCGCGATGGAGTCTGCGATGGAAAAGTTAGATATTCATTCAACTTCTGAAGCCTTTGAGAATTGTTTGGAAAGGTTTGAAATCTGGAGCATGACCAAGAAAGATGTTAAAGGCGATAAAATGTTTGCACATTTCCTGACATTTATTGGGAGAGAAGAGTACAGCTTAATAAAAACTTTGGGAAATCCAGAAAAACCTATCTCACTTCCTTATGCAACTCTTAAGGAGCTATTATTAAATCATGTGAACTGCACCAGTTTTGAATGCCGTGAAATGGCGAAATTCCATAAGATGGTTCGAAAAATGACTAAAAAGTTCGGGAATTCATCCTTAATTTGCATAAACAATTTCGGTGATCAACTTCATGTGAAACTGAGAAATCGATTAGTTGCAGGAATTAACATACAGGGTTTGGAAAGAGAACTGTTAAGAATGTCGAACTGTTCCTTTCAAGATGCGAGAACTGCGTGTATTACCTACAGGCAGTGAATGAACTTGATATCCAGTCGATGAAAATATTCTAAATCGACTTCATGGTTCTAAAGTGTTCTCGAAAGTTGACCTAAAAGATGCTTATCTTCAAATTCCTTTAGATCAATCTTCATCTATTTTGACGACAATTAACACTCCTTTCGGTCTGTTCAAATACAATTTCCTACCATTTGGTCTAAGTTGTTCTCCAGCCATATTTCAGGAAGTTATGAATAAAGTAGTTAGTGATCTTGAAGTTGTTGAAGTTTATCAAGATGAGCTCATTGTTCATGGTTCTAATAAGGTAGTTCATGACCAGAGACTTATTGCTTTATTACGTCGTTTAATTGAGAAGAATATAACAGTGAATCCAAATAAGTGTTCATTTTGTGTATCTAGTTTTGAATGTCTTGGATACCTTGTTGATGGTAATGGTTTTAGACCAGATATGAAACGACTAGCTCCACTGACTAATGCACCGTCTCCGAAAAATCTTACAGAATTACGTTCACTAGTGGGTGCTCTTCAATACTATTCCCGTTTTATTCCTAATTTTTCTTGTCGTGCAAATTGTTTATTTAATATTTTAACATCCAATTCATTCAAATGGAGTGAGGAACAAGAGTCATGCTTACGAAGTCTGCTGAAGTTTCTTCAAAGTGATGCTGTTCTTCGAACGTACTCCCCTAATGTACATTCTGTGCTTATTACTGATGCATCACCTGTGGGAATTGGTGCAGTTTTGGAACAGGAAGGTAGACCAGTTATTTGTGTTTCACGCAAACTTACTGTTACTGAACAAGGTTATTCACAGACTCAGCGAGAAGCATTAGCTGTGTTTTGGGCTGTTAAAAGACTTCATAAATATTTATTCGGAAAGAAATTCACTATTGTTATCATCCTGAAAAATCCTTAGCACGTTCCTCAGCTGCTATGGTTCAACGATGGAGTATTGCTTTGAGTGCATATGACTATACGGTTCAGCACAGAAGTGCCAAACAAATTCAACAGGTTGACTACATTTCTCGACAGTCATTACAAGATAAACCTATTAATACTTCGGACTGTTTGTTAGTGCAACCTTTACCAGTGAGACGTTCAGATCTCATTAGAGAAATCGAGATATTTTGGATGTATACTCAGTGCTATACGGAAAGGCTGGAATGCTAATTTGAAACGTAGATTTCCTATCTATTTTTCAAAGCGGGATGAGCTATCTACTACTCCTGATGGTATTCTGTGTTTAAATGATCGTGTTGTCATTCCTCCTTCATTGCGTAAATCTGTTCTTGAAGATCTTCATAGTGGTCATTTAGGTGTTGAGAAAATGAAGTCCTTGGCAAGGCTCACATGCTGGTGGCCAGAGATAAATGCAGATATATGTCGTACGGCAAACAATTGTGAGAAATGTCATCAGTTGAAAAATCATCCTTCGAAGTGGGTGCCATGGCCAGTATCGTCTGAGGCCTGGCAGAGGATTCATGCTGACTATTGTGGACCATTTCTTGGTAAATACTACGCACTAGTAGTCATTGATTCTTTTCCAAAGTGGCCTGAATTTTTTTTCACAACTTCACCAAATTCTGATTTCACAATACAAGCATTAAGAAAGGTGTTTAGTCGAGAAGGGGTTCCTATGGTGTTAGTGACCGATAATGGCTCACATTTTGCTGCAGATGCAGTCACTACCTGGTTGAACGGTATAGGGTGCAAACATCTATTTACTGCTCCCAGACATCCGTGTTCTAATGGTCAGGCAGAGAATTTTGTTAGGACATTAAAGACTGCTATTGATTCTATTGCCGCCTTAACATTTGATGAGCTGGAGAGGGGAGTAGATACCTTTCCATTGCAATATAGAAATGCCAGACATTCCATGACGAGACTCCATCGAAGCTATTGAAAGGAAGAATTCTTCGGTCGAATATGAGATGTTTGGAGTCTGCAGAAGTTACATACTATCGAGGAAATGATCTTCGACCATCTACGGGTATCGTTCTGAAGAATGTCGGAAAATCAATGGTGCAAATTCTAGACATAAATGACTTAAGTACACACAGTCGACATGATGATCAAATACAATTTCAGGAACCAGATAATACAAAAACCTTATCCAATACAATTTGAGACAGACTCATGATGAATTTGAGAAGACGTACGATTGATTACAAACACCTAGACTCCAATTTAAGCTGTGGTGGATGTGGTGTTTGAACGGACTAATGATACTTTTGTACTTGTTGATTGCTCGATTTCAAATTACAAATACAATACATTCGTTCGTGCTTGTGTCGTAGTTCTTGATTCAATTGCGTTAATTCTGGGATTCCTAGTTCATACGATGATTCAAATTCTTTCAAACATTATAGTTTGGAAAGTCTGAACCTATTGCAAATTTATCAGTTGCTTATGAACATGAGTATTTTACACGACTGAATGCTGAGATGATAACTGTTTTATTTTGAATGATAAGAGGTTTTTTGGAAATGATCGAAGCTTCTTTTCAGTATGTAGTGACAGAATTTGACTCTTCGATCCTGTTCTCATTTTAAAACACATATTTTCATTCACATGAAAGGTAGTTGAATGCGACTGCCTTCACCTGTCGATCATCTCATTTATCGTGGAAATGTTTGAGAAGCGTGTAGAATATTGAAATGTAATTTAAACTTTTCTAATTAAACAGTGTTAACAGCTGCAACTTGTGTAATACCTGAACCAAAAACTCACGAAGGTAAGTTGAAGTGAATCACACTTTGGGTTATGATACACATTTTATATACTGGATTTCTACCATAATGTACACATGAAACCACTTACAATAAATAATTGTCATACTTGATCGACTGCATTTTACATGAACGATGAGAACTCGACAACAGTTACTAACAGTCTTCTAACCTATAAAATTGCTCGAACTACATTTATCAGGTGACTTCCATTCAAACTATAGACTTCGCCTTGTGTCTCCCAACACTTGAAAAGAAGCAAAATAATAATTTCGAAAATGGTAGAACCATCAATCTGTTAACAAGTCTCACCGATAAATGCTTTTTCAGTTTGTGACAATCGAAAGTATTTTTATTTGATCTCAGTTATTTAGACTTATGAATAGATGACAGACTTAGCAAAAATAATGAATGAGGGGATCTCTTGTCAGTTAATGTTTCACGATGACTCTATACTAACAAGGAGGCATAATGTACAAGAATGAACTAATACCCATTAATTAGTTGATTAACTTAATCATTATATAACATCACTTTGATAACAAATAATCTTGAGTAATTGAAAAAAAAAGAATTAAAACAATTAATCCCTTTGATAAATCTCCATAATGCAATGATTATCGCTTGTCATTTTCCAGACATTTCCCACCTATTAACATTGGTTGGAAAGAAATACGAGATTGTAAAGAATTACAATAAACATTTATGTAAGTTATAATCAACAAAATTTTATTTGAGAGTGATAAGTCTTATCGATTGAACGCTATATTTATTGCTAAGCTATTCCGATGACCTGCACGCTAGAACTGCACAGCGACTTGAACACCAGAGAGAAGACACAGGGATGAGAGAAATACTTTATCCCATCCTCGGTGAACGCAGGCTACGGATAAATACTAAGCATTTAAACTGATCTTCAGACATGGACGACAATCTGAACCTCTCACATTCTCGGTTCACAGTTCCTGCATGCTTCACCCAGTCATCTCCTGGTTATTTCGTTAACTTTAAGCACTGGTAACGGATATTGAATAGAGATGACTGTTCTCCGAAGATTTGGGACAGGGTTTTGACTGTATCATCAAAAC